TGTGTCCTGCTCTTGGGCTCTGGAGCATGGGCAGCATCACAGGAGCGCTGTGGGCACTGGACACTGCCCAGCCTTGGCCCAGGGACCTGTCCACCGGGTCCTGCTTCCAGGAGCCTCTGGGGTTCTTGGCTGTGCCTCCTGGGCCTTCCCTCCACAGTGCCTCCTGCCAGGAGTTGGATCCTGCGTCTCTGATTAGTGCTGAGCCTTCTGTGTAGAGAGTACTACGAGCAAGTGAGCCCAGACCAGGGACTGGGGGCCACTGAGGCCACTGGGCATCTTGCAGCTACTCCTCACAACCAGATGAAGCCAAGGCTGGGAGCAGTAGCTGGCCCGAGGTCCCGGAAGCCAGGAGGCAGAGCAGGGCCTGACTGCCCACCCTGAGCTGCACCTGCGCGGACAGCAAATCCCAGAGTTTCAGCCGGGGAGAGGGCCACCCCGTATAAGCCGCCTGCACCTGGAGGGCCTGAGCCTTCACCGGGGAAGTGGGGACATCCAAACCAGGAGCCTGCTTTTCTGCCGGGCAGTGTCCAGTGCCCATAGCACTCCTGTGATGCTGCCATGCTCCAGAGCCCAAGAGCAGGACACAAGATGAAGGCTCTGGCCTTGAGCTGCACATGCTCCAGGTTTGGCCTCGATCCTTTCATGACGTCTCCAGGAGCCACAGCTCTGTGCCGTTAGCTTGAGCTGAGCACCGCCTCCCCACACGGCAGTACTGGCAGTTGGGGTGCCAGCCTTCCTCCAGGCCTCACAGGAGAGGCCACAGGGCCACTTGCAGGCTCAGTGTCCCAGCTTGCCAGACCCCTGGTGTTTGGGCAAAGGATGGTGGCCCTCAGAAGCCCAACCCCAACCAAGGGGGTGGCGTGGTGAGGCACGATTATGGGGGCTCTGAGCGTGGGGCCCTGAATGGAAGCAGGCGAGGTGGGAACCCAGGCTGAGAGGTGGACACACGGGTCTAGTGTGGTTCTGCATGGACCCATCCCCAGCCTGGCTCTCTGTGTGGATACCATGGTAGCCCCAGCCCTGTGACCACAGAGGACCAGTCACTGGAAGGGGCTCTGAGACTGCCTGGCCTACATCCCCATGACACATGGGGACACCAATTTAGGGGGCTGTCCCTGGCCCAGGGCCACATGCCAGGGTCACCACCCTGCCCTGCTCACTGAGATCAGGGACACAGTCTTGTGTTGACATGTGAAGTGACTGTGCCACTGTCACTGGGGCCTGGCCTGTGCAGGGCTGAGGACAGCGATCAGAGGCTGGGGTGCCAGCCCTGTGGAGGTCTGCTGGCCAAAGAAGTGTGGGTGCCTGGTGTCTGAGCCTCCAGGCTCAGGCTGGGACTCGACTGAGGCAGATGTCTGTTCACTATGGAGGCCTGAGCAATGCAGGGAGGGGCCGGACCTGGCCTCATGCTGGCCCCATGCTGGTCCTGATCCCAGGGGAAGGCACAGGCCTGAGGCAGGTGGGGTTGGTAGTCACGCCATGACACGCCTGGCCTCACCAAGCCTCAGGACCTGTAGGAGGCCAGCCAGTGTGTGATGAGGGACCAGGATGAGGGCTGTCCACTGCCATTGCTGTGATCTGGGGCCGCCCAGGCATCCTTAGGGTGCACACTGGGTAGCGTGCCCCACCAAAGGGCCCTGGGAGCCACTGTGACCAGTCTCTCCCTCTGCCCCTGCGCCTCCCCTGAGCAGGGAGCACCCTGCCCCGGGACCTTCCTGAGCCGGGGCCTTGGAGGAGCAGGCTCAGGGTGACCCCCACTGTGTCTCTTTCTCCTCACCAAGGGCTGGAGTACCAGAGGCCGAAGCACCAGGGCTCCTGCGATGACATCGAGGTGCTGTCCACCGGCACACCGCTGCAACAGGAGAGCCCCGAGCTGTACCGCAAGGGCACCACCCCTTCAGACCTGACCCCGGATGACAGCCCGCTGCAGAGCTTCCCTGCCAGCCCCGCAGCTACGCCTCCGCCGGCCCCCTCCAGGAGCAGGGCGGCCCACTTCTCACGACAGGTCTCAGTGGACGAGGAGCGAGGCGGGGACATCCAGATGCTCCTGGAGGGCCGGGGAGGGGACTACACCCGGAACAGCTGGGGTGAGGAGAAGGCAGGGGGCTGCAGGGGTGTTCGCAGCAGCGCCCTGCGCAGCAGCCAAGGCACCGAGGACTTCCGCACCCGGGGCGCGGGCCACAAGCAGCCCGGGAACCCCAAGCCCCGGGAGCGGCGGACGGAATCCCCCCCAACATTCTCGTGGACTTCCCACCACCGGGCGGGCAACCCTGGCTCCGGGGGTGCCAAGCTGCAGGAGCCCGACGAGGAGCAGCTGAGCAACTACAAGCTGGAGATGAAGCCCCTGCTGAGGATGGACTCCTGCACACCAGAGCCGCACCCCCAGAGGAGACGCCACGGCCGGGGCGCGGGGGGCGACCGGCGCTCCGAGGACAGGGGCTTCGGGCTGCAGAGACTGAGGTCCAAGTCCCAGAACAAGGAGAACCTGCGGCCGGCCTCCTGCGGGGAGCCTACCGTGCAGAAGCTGGAGAGCCTGCGGCTGGGGGACCGGCCTGAGCCCCGGCTGCTGCGCTGGGACTTGACCTTCTCCCCACCCCAGAAGTCTTTGCCTGTCGCACTGGAGTCCGATGAGGAGAACGGGGATGACCTCAAGTCCAGCACAGTAAGTGGCAGCCTCCCGGGCCCCAGGGGCGGGAATCCAGGGTTGTCCCCCAGCTTCTGACCTGTGGCCCCCTGAAGGTCTCTCTCGAGCGCCTCTCCAGGGGTGGGTCTCCTATGGCTCTGGGTCAGTGGCGAGAGGAAGGCAGAGGACCAGGACAGAGTGCCTCAGTGGGCTGGCCCTGAAGACCTTTCCTCTGTGCTGGACGCAGGGCCAGGCACTCACTGGGCCATGGGAGGAAGCCGATGTCTGTGCTGCTCCCAGGAAGCCAGAGTCCAAGGACAGCCCCTGGGTGTCCCCCTCGCTCCTGACCTCCTTCACCCTGCAGCCACGGCTCTCCCCATTCTCCCAGCACGGTCCCAGAGTGCAGTGCCCGTTGTCCCCCATAGGTTCTCGGGCCCATCCTGACCTTTGGGGTCAGGCGCAGACCACCCAGGTTGCTCACCCCTGTGGGAGGCCGGGGCGTGCTCCCATTTGAGGACCTCACATGAGACTCATGCTTCATCCAGGCAGATCTTCCCCACCTGAGTTCCCTGGGAGGGTGGGCATTTGGGGGAAATAGCCCCTGCCTCAGAGCCAGACGGGGCTGGGGGTCTCAGGGTCTTGCACAGGTTATACCCAGAGGGGAGCCAGGACCTGCTTCCTTGGCTGAGGGCCATGTGGATGCAGGGTAGGTAAAATGGAGAAGGCCAGAGGTCTGCGGCAGGACCCCAGCTTGCCTGCCCGTAGGCACAGGCAACGCCCAGACCTCTTGGTTTCTTTCTTCAATGGTAAAAAAAAATTCTAAAGGCTGCTGCTCCACAGGGCAGACAGGAGATGGGCTCACCCAGGCGGGGGTGGGACCCACAGTGTGGGCTCAGGAGGGGGCCCCCTGCAGGTGTGTTGCCGTGGCTACAGCAGGGCTCCTGAGCGATAGTCTCTGGTACCCCCAAAGGTACTGCGGCCTGCGAGGCCACTTCCGCAGGTCCCTAAAGCGCCTTCCCTCCTGAGACACCCACAGCAGCCCCCRTGGCTCCTGCTGGCACTCACGCTCATCCTCCCTGTCGCAGCAGCCAGGGTGCCTGCGCGGGGCTATTTTGGGATGGAGGAGTGATGGGCAGGGGTGGGAGGTGCGGATCRACGCTATATTTAGCCCACTGAGCCCCACTGGCTCTTTTGGGTGCTTTCGACACTAAGCCCCCTCTGGTTGGCGTGCCAACGTGGGGCCAGCCTCGGCCAGCTCTGGAGTGGGGTGGCTGCAGGCAGAGGCAGGGGCTGCAGCCCAGCCATGGTGGGTATTCCCCCTCAGCCCCAGGAGCCAAGATGGAGACTCCAGGGCCCACCCTGGGGTCCCAGCTTCCTGCCCAAAGCAGGCAGGGTCTTGTTCACTTGCTCCCACAACCTGGGGACATATTCTGGGGGCTGTCACTGGGTCTGAGGGGAGGTGGCCTGCTCCACCAACATTCATGGTGGGGAAGCGAGTGGCTGTTGGGGTGACGTGGGTGCTGAGGTCCTTGGGGCCTGCTGCATCCCCTCCCTGGGGCACAGCTCTCCACAGTTCAGGCTGCTCTGGGCTGGCAGCAGGGCCAGAGGTGGGATGTCCTGTCCAGCAGCATTCCTCTCATCCAGGGACTCTACCCCTTACCACAGTCAGGGTAAGTGGGCAGAACGGCAGTCCCCGCCCTGATGGAAGCATCTGATCTACCGGCTTCTCTGGGGCTGTCCAGGGTTCCTTGCTGTGAGGGCAGCAGGAGTGGAAAGGAACCTGGCCATGCAAGGCCCCAGGTCCTGGCAATTCAGGGTGAAGTTATCGTGGGCAGGAATGTCCAGGCTTTCCCTCCRGCTCTGCCAGCAAGTGAACTCCACAGCCTCCACTAGACCCTTGAGTGTTTCTGGGCCTGATTCCCTGTAGAAGAAAGGCTGTGGCACAGGGGCCAGCTCTGAACTCCCTCATGGCAGGGGACAGCTAAGGTTCAGCAACCTGGTTGATTCCCAACACCCCCGCCCCCAGCAAATCTCTGCTGCCCGGAGTCCAACGAGCAAACTCAATGCCAGGCTGTGAGCTGCAGGGCAGGGTAGGCGGCCAGACCAGGGTGCCCCTGCCTACAATGCAGATGGAGCCCAGTGGGCCAGTGGATCTGGGGGCCACGCAGGCCCAGCTCCAGAGCTAAGTGGGCCGGAGACCTGAGGCTAGGTTCTGAGGGCATCTTTTGCCATCGTGGGTGAGATGGCTGCCGACTGTCCAGCTCTCAAAGACCCTTCGTGAGGAGCGGCATGGTGGCATGCTCTCCATCAGCACCCTGCCTCACAGAGCGTCCCAGGCCCTGCAAGAGCTGTGTCACCACAGGGTGACAGCCAGGAGCATTAGGCAGCCTTTCGACAGGATAACAGTGCACACCCAGCCCTGTGAGCCAGGAGAGGGAKGGCGAGGGCCTGGCCACCAGGCATTGGAAAGGTGAGCACCGGGAGCGGGGCAGGGATGGACCTTCCTTGACCACAAGGACAACCATGTCACTCAGCTGGCCATGCAGCTGGGAGAACTGCCTGACTTGGGGACAGAAAGAGCTACAGGCTGGCTGGCAGCCAGAGAAGAGGAAGGCGAGGGCAAGATCAGGCTGCTTCTCTGCAGCTGGGTGTGGGGAGCCCACATGTGCATGGGGAGGGGCTGCAGCTGTGCCTCTAGGACACCCCAGGGTTCAGGTGGCCCTGTGAGGCTGCATCTAGAGGACTCTGAAGGAGCCACCTCCTCCATGAGGGGGTACCCATCGTTTTAGCTGACAGCTATGTTGAGAATTCACGCACCAGACGGCTCACCTGTCCAGGGCAGGCAGTTTGGTGGTTTTGGTGTATTTAGGCTGTGTACCCATCACAACTGTCCGACTCCAGACTACTGCCATCCTCTGTAAAGACACTGCAGACCCACTGGGCCGTCCCTCTGTCCCCACTCTGGGACTTGCCTCTGCTGGACGTTTCACACTGATAGGATCATATGGTGAGCAGCTTTTTGCTGGGCTCACCTCACCTAGCATCAAGACCCGACCCACTGTTGGGGCACACGCCAGCTGCACTCCTTCCTGTGGATACCCTCTGCACGGGGAGCCACATCTGCCATGGCTGCTCACGTCCGGGACGCATGGTGTGCTGCCACTTCCTGGCCAGTGTGCTGTTGCCACGAGCAGCCGTGAGGCTTCTGCATGGATGCGTCTCATTTTCATTTCTCTTGGGTCCTCACCTAGGAGGGAACCCTTGGGGGAACTGCCAGACTCCTCCAGCCTCATCTGAGAGGGGAGGAGCAGGCGCTTCCTTTCTGGGGAGAGGCATTCCAGCCCCATCCTTGCCTGTATTGCAAGCCTGATGCCACCAGGGCCTGCTCAGTCTGGGAAAGCCAACCTCATCATGGCTCTGACGTTTGGACACAGGGGAGGAGAGAGAGGGGCAGGGAAGCAGCTTGGGAGCCTAGCGCAGGTCATCTCCACTCCAGGAGATGTGGAGGCTCCCAGCCACTTCTTCACTTGGGTGTAGCCTCTGTGTGTGTGTGTGTGTGTGTGTGTGTGTGTGTGTGTGTGTGTGTGTGGCGGGGGGCAGAGGTCTTCTGGGATCAGGCCACCACTATGGGCACACCCAGGGCTGGGCTGCTGTGCCCCTCCCCAGTGCAGCAGGTCACTGTGCCTTCAGCACTGCGGTGACACTTGGTCTTGAGCAGCCGCCTCATAGGACAGAGCTACCAGCATCCTCTTCTGAGGTCTACCTCAGAGGCCTTGCCTCCACCTGTCCCTGCCCAACAGGGGCAGCCTGCAATTTAAGGGCCAGGGCCAGGCAGGCACTGACGCAGGGCATGGGGAGGGGCTGGGCTGCATCTGAGACAAGCACCCTGAATGGAGCCTGGAAGCTGGGCTCCTAGAAGAGTCCGGTGGCTTTGAAGTCAGCTGCTGCCGTTGCTCAGGGGCAGTGGCTTGTGAAGTGTGAGTGAATTAATGGGAAGGTGACTTCACGGAGGACTGCTGAAGGGCTCTGAACTTGAGGGCCACTCGGCGTGGGAGCACAGCTGGTGCTGGCTGGCCACCGCGAAAGGGCGGGTGCTGTGAAACCATGCTTCGATGTCCTAGCAGCTGGAGGCATCTGTTGACTAACCACTGTGACACAGGGTGTTTGGGGAGCCCGGGCTTTTGAAAAGGGCTCTCATTGTCCTGGCCCTCCACGCCGGCACACATGGTGACCCACCTGTGCTCTCTTCCAGGGCTCAGCTCCCATCCTGGTGGCCATGGTGATCCTGCTCAACATTGGAGTCGCCATCCTGTTCATCAACTTCTTCATCTGAGAGACTGTCCCGCTCGCAGAAGCAACGGTATGCAAAGGGGAACTGGAAAGGGAACGCCCCGCTCGGACAGCCCCAGGACTTCCAGTCTTTTCACAGAAGAACACCACGGTTGGGTATTACTCACAGTTTGCCTTTTTTTCTGGGTAATGTTTTTTGGATTTTAGCCAAATTCTTTGCTTGTGTAACACTATGCTGTGTGGCATGGCAGAAGGAGGCCAGCACGCCGACCCTCCCGCTTGACGTGGAAAGAGAAGGGATCCGGCACACCAGCGGCAGAGAAGTCGTGGTCCTCGCCCTTCCCGCTGGGTGTGGACAGAGGTGGCGGTCGAGGAAGCGCTCACAGGGTACCCAGCTAGCCAGGCTAACACGGAAGGCCGAGTGACTTTGCTTTCCTGTCTGAACAGCTGGCCGTGAGCACGGGCGCCAAGCATGGGGAGTAGGGTGTCCTGTCCTGCTGGGAGCAGCCCAGGCCTTTTTCTACTTCAAATCTGTGCTGCATCCTCAAGGGGAAGGAGAACCACGCTTCTCTTCTCCCACACACCAGACCACGGCCTCCCTCCTCTTGGCACTGCCCCATGGCCTCCTTGTGAGGCCACCTCTCCCCACACCGAGTCTTAACAGAGTCCTCCCTGCCCCACCCCACTCACCGTCACCGCCGGCCGTCCGCTCAGCACACACAGGGAGGCTGTGYTGCAGGCGTCCGGGGTGACCCAGATCTGGCTGGCACAGCCAAGTGCTGCGGGGCTGTGCCCCAGGCGTGAGGGCTGGGGCCCACTGTGCCATGGACAGTCTGACATCATGCCTGGGCTCTGAGCATGTGGCACTTTTGCACTTAGTATGCAGGATGTATATTCAGGCTTCCGTCCCTGGCAGTGACGCCCCAGAAGCTGTCACCTCTTGCTGTTACCTCCACGGTTCTCACATCTCTGTACTGTGCCTGCCTCCACTTCCCCAACAGATATGCATATTCCTTCCAGATGCCTCAGTGCTACTCCAGCGCAGTTCTGGCCCCGGGACAGGAATGTCATTGAAACCCAGTGGCTTGACTTTCCTAGATGTTGTTGCATACCTGACACCTCCCCAATGTGCAATGTTCAACTCGTTTTGGTCAAACAAAAACAGGTTCCTTACGTTTCTGCCTTCTCTATCAGGGTCGTTCCATTATCCAAACAAATGAGGGATGCCAGACCGCCTGGTGGCCGAGGGCAGCCCAGGCGTGTCCGTAGGCAGGAGCCTGCGCGCATGCCTGGGAGGCCGGCGCTCGTCCGTCTCATGGACCCTGCCTTGCTTTGCTTACGTTAGCCGTCTCTGCTGCCTTTCGAGCAGAGCTTCTTTACTACACTGCACTGGATTGCTATATTTTTAACCAGAAATAAACTAAAGATTAGAGCATGTTGCAGTCACATTCAGTTTCTATTGTTTTCCGTTATCCATTCACTCCCCGTTCCTTCTCACAGTTTGGTTTGGGGGGCACAGGAGAGGGAGGGATGCTCAGCAGATGATCCATTTCTGACAATGTTCCTTTCTAAAGGGATATTACATCTTTTGTACATCTTTCCGTTCCTCTTTTTTAATATCAAGTGGTTGCTGCAGACCTGAAGTGAACCAAATAAAGATTCCTGCTCTTTGCAGCTCTAAGAATCATCCATGTTGGGATGTGTTTTGTAATTGTTTGCAACTCTTTGTAAAAACAATGAGACTTCTTTTGTACATTCCAGTAACTGCATGACACAAAGGGGACCTACAAACGTAGGTGGTTCCTTGCAGGCCATGCCACAGGTATGTGAGAAGCAGAGCACAAACCTGAGGCTGGGCAGGGGCACATGTGCCTCCACACCCATGCTCACAGATGCTTGGCCAGTGACACCACCGACAAGACCAGACCCTGCCCAGAGCTTTGTCTGCAGTCTGCAGCAACTGCAGAGGGGAAGCCATCTCCCCTGTTCCTGGTGCAGTCCAAGGATCTGAGCAAGGCCAAGATCCACTGGGTCTGGCGTCTAGACAGCTGGTTTCCAGCTGGTGCATACACCGGTGGCTGCACTTGTCCAGAACCCCCACTTCCCCCACAGGGTCCTGGTGGGCCATTGTGGGGCCAGTTGAGCACGGCAGCAGGCAGGGCCAAGCACCAGGTCCCACTCTGGCTCCCAGTGCACAGAGCCACATCCTAAGAACCATTTTCTTCCTGTCAGCCTCTTGCCTGCTCCAGGAGGGGAAACCAGATGCAGAGAGGAACCTCGTGTCTTTCCTGAGACCCTGCTACTGGGCTGCCAGGAGTGAGAATGACGCTGTGTTCCCAMAGCTGAGCAGTGTCCTTCATGGAGACTTTGAGGACTCCCTGCACACTGGACTTCTGTCAGTCATGTAACACGCATGGGTCATTCCAGAGAAACGCTCATCCATTCTTTTGGATTCTAGGTTTTATAACTGCTAGCACACAGGTTCCCCAAAGATAAAGATGAAGCCTGCAGCACAGAGCCCGATGTAACTGAAGGGGAAGACAGTGGCACGGGAAGTTCTGCATGGTGCCCCAGGGCAGTGCTCGCTGCCCAGACTCTTCGGGGGTAGGGCCCACAGGGACACAGCCTGATGCTCCTTCTGCACAGCCCAGTCCATCGCCCAGCCAATAAACTGCTCTTTTTTGAAACCCTGCTGCACGAGGTGTGAGCAGACACTCCTCCCTGGATGCACTAAGCCCAGGATTCCTCAGTGAAGTCTCAGGCCAGGCTGCGCTGGCTCCCCCCACCACACCTCCCTCAGGCTGTGGCACTTGGACAGGGTGGCCACACACCCTGGCCCCAACCTCCCTGCTCCTCTTCACACAYAAAATGGCTCCAGTTTAGAAAGACTACAGGGCACCCCACATGAAGACGGAAGGACGTGGTCCCAAGCCTGCAGGTGCCAAGCCTGAGTACCTGGGTRCCGAGAAGAGCATCTGGGAGACACAAGAAACATTTCGGCTTTGGGTGCTTGTTTAGTTTGGGTTTGGGGCTGTCCAACACTTTTGGGTCAGCACCAGTATTACTTCTCTGGCAGGCCTGTACCCACGTGGACCTGCGGGCTGCAGCGGCCAGGGCTGCCCTCCAGGGCTAACAGCACCACAGGCCAGGACCTCTGATCTGCTCCAAAACATCACGGGATGGTTACTCATGTCACTTCACCTGTGCAATAAAACACTTCACGACAACAGCGCCAGGGGCACCTCTCTCTTCTAGATAAAGCTCAGTTTCTTTAACTCTTCACAGGTCTCGTCTTCCACCCTTCTTGCCTTTGGTCTCAGAAAATCAGCATAAAGGTGCCTACGAGACCCTCCTACATCTCCACAGCTTGTCGTGCTATGTGGCTCCTGGCTTCCCTGCCGACCGGAAGGCACAGCTGACGCATCTGTGCCTCACAGAGCAGAGTGAACAGACTGTTCTCAGGAGGTCCCCCTCCACCTTGCGCAGGACGAGGACTGCCTCCTGGACTCCAGGCAGAGGAGGGAGTGAGTCTGAGCTCTGCTGCCCAGGAACTCAGGTGTGCACCCAGCTCTGTCCCCTTGCCCAGGCCTGCCAGGCAGGTCGTGCAGACTGAGAAAACAATCTGTCCCCAAGTGCCAAGACGTGTCGCCAACTCAGCCTTAAAAGAACCAAGAAACAGTAAAGTTGCCTTTGTTTCGGAGAAAAAAGCTGATCTGCATTTTCCCAGTGTAGCAGCGTGCCTGAGGTACAACTCGGGGACAGAGATGTCTGAAAGGCAGGAAAAYAGCCTGCAGCCCCAAGCCCCTGTGCTGGCCCTTCCTGGGGAGTTGGAGGACAATGGCACCTGAAGAGATGCAGGTAGGAGGGAGCAGTGTGTGGCAGGACGGGTCCGGCCCCTGGAGGACCCTGGGCGCKATTCTTGGAGGAAGGCTGGAACACGGGAACCTCAGCCCGGCCAGGTACAAAAGGCTTGCTGTGCTGCTCTGTGAAAGCCCAGAGGAGTCCTAAGATGCAGAGAGTAAGCAGCTCACTGGGGCGGTAAGCTGCGTGTGGAGCCTGGGTGCTGGGTTCTGGGAGGGCAGGGCAGGCGGTACCGTCACACTACCTCACTCTGGCCATGCCCGGCCCGCACGCCCTTGCCCTGCCCTGGCTCAGGAACCAACATCCCACCTTGGCTGCGGACTCCAGTGGGCTCCCTCAGGTCTGCACCCACCGCCACATGGGGACATGCACCTCCAGCTGCCACCACTGCTGGGTGACAGTTGCAGCCCAAACCAGGAATGCCTCCTAGACCCACGGTGGCTAAGGCAGGGTCTCCGCTGGATGCTGCTCATCTTCCCTGCAGGAGCACCATGAGCACACCACGTTCTGCCTGCTCTGGTGACCTTGCCGCACCTGGGACGAAGGTCAGATCACACGGAGGCCGGAGGCACGCCCCGCAGCCCTCCGTGTGGTGGGATGTAACAGGCGAGGCTTTCCACAGAGCCCTGTCTGTGCTCAACCTCACCCGCCAATGTCACTCACACCAATGGGTTGTCTCCCTCTCTAGAATGCCATCCACTTCATACTGTCCAGCCACCCCTCATTCACAAACGACCCTTCCACAGCTGAGTCCATTTAGCGGCTGCTGGTCAGCAAGGAGGGCTGATCTCCACTGCCCAGGGTGGCTCCTCARATGTGAACTTAGGCTGGAGGGAGGAGACAGGTGTGAAGGCACAGTAGGGTGGGGTGTTGTGCAGGGCACCCTCTGTCAGTCCATCTGAGGCCAAGTGCCCAGGAGTCCCCAGTTATTTGCATGCAGGTCCCTGTGTAAGACCCACCCTCTGGAGCATGCCACACCCCAGCAGATGCAGCCTGCATGCCACAGGCTGTGGGCAGCCATCGGGGCCAGGTGTTGTCCACCCAGCCTGCAGACAGAAGCTCCCTGAAAGGCTATCCCACCTTTCTACTGAGCTGCCCCTGACCCACATGGTGTGGTGAGCCTTGCACGGCCACTGACCCTTGCTGCAGACGTGAAACTGCTGGCCGCAGTGTAGATGCCTTTTTGTGAACTCTGACCTAGAA